AATATAAATATAAATATAAATATAAATATAAATATAAATATAAATATAAATATAAATATAGATATAAATATAAATATAAATATAAATATAAATATAAAGATAAATATAAATATAAATATAAAGATAAATATAAATATAAATATAAATATAAATATAAATATAAACATAAATATAAATATAAACATAAATATAAATATAAACATTATCACGAACAAAAGAATAAACATAAAATAAATATGAATAGAAAAGAAAGACTTAGAAATAAAGGTAAAAATACACCTATGTAAAAGTAGGCATAAATGTATATGTAAATAAATGAGGCCAAATCAGGTGTATGTACACTCCAGCAGACTTGCCTGCATGCAGATCTAAAACGGACTTCTCTGCAGAAGAAACAAAATGTCAAATGTGCATTTAAATAAACAAAAATGTACTTTTAATCTTTTCTTGTTGGCCAGAAATAAACAAAATTGCAGATAATTCCAAATCTGCAATTTGCAAACATGGACAAGTCCGTCGGGTGTCTGTACACTTGAAAATCCACAAGTCTGCAAACGAGCAGCTTGCGGTGTACGTACACCTGAACTTGTACCGCTGAAATCTGCTTTTTATAAAATTAAAAAAAAATATTTTTGCAAACTAATACCTTTTATTAATTTGTTTTTTACTAAATCCAATTTATTATTTGTTGCAAAATAACTCAAAGATGACCAGCTCCAGACCCAACAACGCCTCTTGGGGGCCCCCAGGGGGCCCCCAAAGGATACCTAAGGGGCCCCTAAAGGGCCCCCAAGGGGCCCGCAAAGGGCCCCCAAAGGGCTTTAAAGGGGCCCCCTTCAGGTACCCCTCAAAGGGGCCCCATGGGGCTTTCAATAAACTCCCAATGGGCCCAACGGGGACGTTTGGGGGCCCCCCAGGGGCCCCCAAGGGGCCCCCAAGAGGCCCCTAGGGGGCCCCTAAAAAGGCCTCAAGAGACTCTCTAGGGGCCCCAAAAGGGCCTCCCAAAGGGCCCCATAATGCCATCAAAAAGGGCCCTCAAAGTAGCCCTCAAGATACGCTCAAGCGTCAGGGGCCCCCATCAAGGGCCCCCATCAGGGGCCCCCAGAGGGGCCCCCAGGGGGGTCCCCAGGGGGGCCCCAAAGGTACCCCCCAAGGGCCACCACGGCTCCCCCAAGGGGCCCCCATAGGAGCCCCAAGGGGCCCCCATAGGGCCCCCAAGAAGCCCCCAAAGGGCGCGTAAGGGGCCCCCTAGGGGCCCCCGAGGGGCCCCTTGGGGGCCCGCAAAAGGGCCACTCCAGCTTTTTGTACATGTGCTGCTGTTTAAATCCATTTAAATATCGTCCGTAAACCCCAACCACCAAATCCTAAACCCTACACCCTAAACCCTAAACCCTAAACCCTAAACCCTAAACCCTAAAGCGAGTTTCCTTAGGCGCTGCAGCAAAAGGAAGACCGCCACTGCGTTTCGTTTGGCTGCTGCAATCATTCTTTTTTATTATAAAAGGGAAAAGTGAGAGAACCCGAGCCCAACTAAACCCTAAACCCTAAACCCTAAACCCTAAACCCTAAACCCTGAACCCTAGACCCTTACTTCTAACTCCCAGACCCTAAACCCTTAACTTCCAACCCAAAAACTCTAGTCAAAAACCCTAAGTCCTAAGTCCTAGTCTTAAACCCTAAACCCCAAACCCTAATGCTAAACCCTAAACGCCAGACCCTCCAACCTAAACGCTGCAGCAGAAACCCTAGATCTAAGCACCTTACACTGAACCCTCAAGGCATAGCTCTAACCCCTAAGCCCTAAACCCTAAACCCTAAACCCTAAACCCTAAACCCTAGTGGAAGGCGAGTTCCGAGTTTTCACCTTCCTTCGCCAGACAGCTGTTCAGGTGTACATACACCCCGGCAAGCGAAGCAGCAGCGACTGAAGAGGAAAATAAGAATTGGTCTAAAAAGAACCCTTTTTTAGGGTTTAGGGTTTGTATCCAGCTTAAATCTGTAGTTTGCAGTCTAGGGTTTAGGGTTTAGCGCTCCGGCTTCAGGTTTGGGGTTTAGGGTTTAGGGTTTAGGGTTTAGGGTTTAGCGTTCAGGCGGTCTCAACGGCTGCCGAGGCCCTGGGGCCCCTGTTGCTGTTTAGTTTTTCCTTTTATTTTCTTTTTTGCTTTTAGAAAACAAACAAAAGAATTATTTAAAATTAGTTATTTAATCTGATGCTGCTTCGTGACTATTCGAAAACCCTCCAGCCCAAGCTCAAGGGTTTAGGGTTTAGGGTTTAGGGTTTAGGGTTTCGGTCCCCACGCCCCATCTTCCCTGCGCCCCTCAATTCTTCTCCCGAGTTCAACCTAATGAAGGAAGCAGCAGCAGCAGCAGCAGCAGCAGCAGCAGCAGCAGCAGCAGAGAAGCCCCCCAGTGACCCCCCTCTGGGGGCCCCTGGGGGCCCCCCCCCTGCGGGCCATTTCCCAGGGGGGCCCCCAGCGCATGCAGAGGGTTCACCAGCGCATGCAGGGGGGCCCCCAGGGGCCCCACAGGGTCTTTCTGTTCAAAGGGGGCCCCCAGGGGGGCCCCCGGGGGGCCCCCCAGCGCATGCAGAGGCCCCCCCACTGCATGCAGAGGGGCCCCCAGGGGCCCCAGGGGCCCCCGGGGGCCCCGCGGCCCCACAGGGTACTGTGGGGCCCCAAGAACCCTCAAAAGACCCACAGGGGGTACTGGGGGGCCCCCCCGGGGGGCCCCCCAATGCTGCTGAGGGGGGGCCCCCCGAAGAGGGCTATATAGAAGATTTGCTGCCGCTGATGGTTGCAGCAGGACTGGTGGGGCCTGAGCAGCAGGAGGATCCCGAAGCAGCAGCAGCAGCAGCAGCAGCAGCAGACGCTGCAGCGGCTGCAGCAGCAGCAGGAGCGTCCCGGCTGCTGGAGTGTTTGTTCAGCCCAGACGCAGCAGCACAACTTGCTGCTGCTGACCCCAAGGATTTGCTGCTGCTGCAGCAGCAGCAAGTGGCAGATGTGCTGCTGCGGCATGCAGTGCGTGACGAGCACAGCGACAAGGACACGTTGAAGCTGCTGCAGATCTTGCTGCTGCAGCAGCAGCAGGGAGAAGCAGCAGCAGCAGCAGCAGCACGCGCCAACGTGGACCAGAAGGTGGTAGACTTGCTGCTGCTGCCGCAGCAGCAGCAGCAGCAAACCGTGCCAGTGGAGTGCCTGTGCGGGCTGCCCGTCACAGGGGGCGTCTTCTCCTGCAGCAGCAGCAGCAGCAGCAGCAGCAGCAGCAGCAGCAGCAGCAGCAGCGGAGCAGCAGCAGCAGGGGCTGCCTGCCGCATGCTAAACCCTAGCCTGTCGCTGCACTCACTGACACAGGCGCTGTTTTGCTGCTGCTGCCAAGGCAAGCTGCGCAGTTTGCTGCTGCTGGAGCGCTGCTGCAGCGTTGCTGCTGCTAACTTGCTGCTGCTGCAGCAAGGCCGCAGCACTTTGGTGCATGCAGCAGCAATGGGCGGCTCCAGGGCCACGCTGCAGCGCCTCCTCACTGCCCACAAACTCTCCCCCCGCGGGCCCCTCGGTAAACCCTAAACCCTAAACCCTAAACCCTAAACCCTAGGCGCTGCCCGCCTCCAGCCTGCTTGCTGCAGCCTGCGAAACCCTAAACCCTAAACCCTAAACCCTCGTTCCCCCGCCTGCAGGCCGCGTGTTTGCATGCGCCTTGCGGGCTCCTGCGCTTGGCCCCCAAACCCTAAACCCTAAACCCTAAACCCCAAACCCCAAACCCTAGACGCCAAACCCTAAACCCCAAACCCTAAACCCCAGACCCTAGACCCCGGACCGCAACCCGCGAACCGCAAACCCTAGCCCCGCAGCGCGAAGGCCGGCCGCCCAAGGCCGAACCGCAAACCCTAATGCGGGCCGCCGAAGGCGAAACCCTAAACCCTAATTTAGGGTTTGCGTTGCAGAGTCTGCGAACTACAACGAGCCGATCCACCTGGCCGCGCACTGCGGAAGAACTTCTGCAGTTTTGTCTTTGATAGAATTCGGAGCTCCTTTGGAGTGTCTGGACAGACACCAGAGAACCCCCGCCTTCCACGCCGCCGCCAACGGCCACCTTTCCACCCTCAAAACCCTCGAGGCCATGGGCGCAAACCTCCGAGTAGGGTTTAGGGTTTAGGGTTTAGGGTTTAGGGTTTGGGGTTTGGGGTTTGGGGTTTGGGCGTGGGGGGTTGCGGCTGCGGCTTGCGGCGCGGGTTTGGGGGTGCGGTTGGGGTTCGGTTCTTGGGTAGGGTTTAGGGTTTAGGGTTTAGGGTTTGGGGGGTAGGGTTTGGGGTTCAGGGTTTAGGGTTTGGGGTTTAGGGTTTGGGGCGCGGGGGCCGGGTTTTGGGGAGAGGGTTGGGGTTTCTTCGGCGGTGGCGGGGTGCTAGGGTTTAGGGTTTGGCTAAACCCTAAACCCTCAGGGGTTCTTTAGGCCTCGGCGAGGGAAGGGGACATCAGGGTCTAGGGTTTAGGGTTTAGAGGGCTGCCGCTGCGGGCTTGGCGCGGAAAGGCCCGGGTTCAGGGCTTAGGGTTTAGGGTTTAGGGTTTAGGGTTTAGGGTTTGTGGCAGGCTGTGGACGCGGACGGGATTTCGCTTTTGGAGGAAGCAAAAAACAAAAGAAACATCAGAGACGGGAGAGACCGCGAGGGGATTTATTTGCTGCTGCTGGACAAGGAAGCAGCAGCAGCAAATGAAGACGCTGCAGCAGCAGCAGCAGCAGCAGCAGCAGCAGCAGCGGGAGACGGGCCTGCAGCCAGGAGCAAAAGAGCTCGAGACGAAGCCGCCGCGCAAACCCTAAACCCTAGCTCCGAAACCCTAAACCCTAATTCCTAAACCCTAAACCCTAGTTGCGGGCTTCGCTTGTGCTGCTTCTTGTTTTCTTTGTCTCTTTTTGTAAGGCTTTCCCCGCTACTTGGGGTCTAGAGAGAAGACAAACCCTAAACCCTAAACCCTAAACCCTTAATGCTGGGGCGTTGGGGGTTATTTATTTTCCCGGTCTCAATTGCTGCACAATTTAGGGTTTAGGGTTTAGGGTTCCTAGGAAGCTCTAGCGCCTGCAACGAACGACTAGTGTAGGGTTTAGGGCTGCAAACCCTAAACCCTAAACCCTAGAAAGGGGCTAAACCCTAGTCCTTCGCAAAATAGCGGTTGGGTTCAGCGAGCTGGGCGTAAACCCTCACTGAAATGCTAAACCCTCGCCCGAACCCTGAGCCCCACCCAAACCCTAAACCCTCGCCAAAACCCTAAACCCTCGCCAAAACCCTAAACCCTAAACCCTCGTAAACCCTTCATAATTCTTCAACAGCTCCTTCGTGCCAATGGGCAACAACCGAAAGACAAAACCGCGCCATTTTGACGTCCAGGTGTTTCTGAGAAGCCCAGACAAACCCTAAACCCTCGCGAAACCCTAAACCCTCGCGAAACCCTAAACCCTTACGAAACCCTAAACCCTAGCGGAGGCCTACACCCAAAACCCTCGCGCAAACGCCAAACCCTTCGCTCTCTCTGAATCGCCAACCCTAACCCCGCGAAGCAACCCTAATTTGAACACTCGCTCCCTGAGTTCCCCAAAACCCTAAACCCTAAACCCTAAACCCTCGCCAGCTAAACACTTACCAAGAGCTGCGCCTGCTCAGCCGTGATTGGAGTTCCCTCCGTGCACACCGTGTAGTTCCCCAGCAAATTAATTTTCCCATTCTGCAGCAGCAGCAGCAGCAACAGCAGCAGCAGCAGCAGCAGCAGCAGCAACAGCAGCAGCAGCAGCGTGTGAGGGTTTGCGGGTTTGTTGAGGGTTTAGGGTTTGCGGATTCGAGCGCAGCTGCAACTCAATGGGAGGTTGCATTAAACGCTCCTAAAGCAATTTTCAGAAAAGATCCTTTTTGGATTTATTTGTCCTTTTGGATTTATTTATCTTTTTATATTAATTTAATTTAATTTAATTTAATTTAATTTAAATAAATTGAAAACAAAAAACAAAACATGCAGCAAAGCCTGGGCGAATCTCGCGCTGCAGATTTTCCCAGAAATGCAAACTCGAAAAAATAAAAGAAAAAGATAACAGAAATGAACGCAATTAATTAATTATTATTATTATTTCAATTTATTCACATTATTATTCATTTATTATCCATTTATTATTCATTTATTTGCCATTTATTTGCCATTTATTGCCATTTATTTGCCACTTTTTACCCACTTGCAGCTGCGTGGGAAGTCCCAAAGACCGCAGGCGCGGCTCCATAGAGTGGGGAAACTTTTCTAGGGCTTCGAAGCCCGCCTGGAAAAGAAGAAAGAAGGAAATGAATTCAAATTTGAACAATTGATTGAATTTAAATTGAATTGATTGAATTAAAATGAATTAACTGATCAATAAAACAGAAATAAAGGATTCAAATTGAAATAATCCATTCAATTAAAACAAAACGTTTCAAATGAACTCATAATTCGAGAGAAAACGAAAAATTCAACTTTCAGCAAGCGCGCCGATGAAAAGACTCTTTTTGTTTCTTTTTTCGGAAAAAACAATTAAAAAGGAAAAATATTCAAATAATTCATTTTAATTTACCCAAAATAATAAATTAAATGAACCAAATGAGTCGAAATGCCAAAAGAATTCCAAACGCAGCAGCAAATACACCCCAGCACGCGCTGTACGTACACCCCGTGGGTATGGAAGACTTTCTTTTTCGGCAAATAAAAATGGATGAAAATGAATACAAATTAAAGTATATAAATCCATAAATATAAATAATATATAAATGCATCTTTGTTTGCAAGAATAGGCGTGAAAATGCATGCACATGCATGCAAATGGATATATAAATAAATGCATTTACCCTTGCATGCGTCCATACACTTGAACACGCAACATGAACTTGAGGTGTACGTACACTTGAACGCACTGCACCGGCGAACGGAAATTCCAAAACTTCTTTCTAATGCTGAAGCTGCTGCAAGACCATTTATTAATTATTATTAATTAATTATTTATTTATTTATTTATTTATTTATTTATTTATTTATTTATTTATTTGCATTTCAATTCGGCAGCGGCGCGGGCCGGGAGAAGCGTGCGGTATTCCGGGTGTATGTACACCTGGAGAGTGACGGTTTTGGTGGCCGTGAAGCCGGCCCTGGCGAACTCGTCTGCGGAAACCTTATTTAGGGTTTGTTGGACTTCATTTATTTCTTTTTTCGAAAATAATAAACCTCTTTCTCCCTTGAGCATTTTGCTGATTTTAAAAACGTTCAACGCGCACTCCGTCGACGGCTGAGTCCCCAGCGCCACCTGCAGCACCTTGTTCTTCCCGTAAAACAACCTGCCCACAAACCCTAAACCCTAAACCCTAAACCCTAAACCCTAAACCCTAATTCGGGCGCTCCGGTGTGCAGGCAGCCGTGTGCAGTGGACAGCCAGGATGCCAGGTGTACAGACACCTCAAATCATCACTTTTAAAAAATTCGAAATTTAAAATTTTCAAAAAATACATTCAAAAAGATTTGCCATGTGGTTGCAGCAGCAGCAGCAGCAGCAGCAGCAGCAGCAGCAGCAGCAGCAGCAGCAGCAGCAGCGGCAGCAACAGCAGCAGCAACAGTCGAAGATGAGGAAGCAAAAAGGGGAAGACGCAAAGAGGATACCCTGCTTAGGACTTAGGGCTCAGCAGGGTTGAGGGCTTACTAGGGTTTAGGGTTTATTATTAGGGTTTAGGGTTTATTATTAGGGTTTAGGGTTTATTAGCTTCAAGAGTTCAGCAGGGTTTAGGGTTTACTAGGGTTTAGGCACTCAACAGGTCAAGCAGAGCCAAGTAGGGTTTAGACTGCGCAGGGCCCTTAGCTTGCGGGTTTGAGTAGGGTTTAGGGTTTTGGAGGGTTTAGGGTTTAGGCTAGGGTTTGAGTTTTGGAGGGTTTAGTGTTTAGGCTAGGGTTTGAGTTTTGGAGGGTTTAGTGCTTTGAGGGTTTGGGGTTTTGGCGGGCTGAGGGTTTGCGAGGCCTTAGGGTTTTGGGGGTTCCAGGGCTCCTGGAGGCCTGGGGTTTTGAGGGTTTGGAGGGTTTAGGGTTTGCGAGGGTTTAGGGTTTGCGAGGGTTTAGGGTTTGGCACCTGCCGGGCTTGAGGGCGTCTCTGGCCGCCTTCAGGGCCGCGTTTCTTTGGTTTTGGAAGTCCAAAACATAAATGTGAATTCCCTTTTCTTCCGCAACTTCTCGGACTTTTTCAATCAGCAAATTCTTGGCAGTGGCTGCGCGCCCGCGCTCCCCCGTCTTCCGCTTCTTGGTCTTGGAGAGGGGCACGACTTTGGCGCGCTTCGAGACCGGCATTTCCAAACCCTAAAAAAGGGTTTACGCGATCCGGGGCCTAAAAAGGGTTTGAGAGTCCGCAAATGGATCAAAAAGAAGTAAAAGATGGACAAAATTCAACCAAGTTCAAACGCGGGGAAGCAGGCGCCGGCAAACGCGCAGCAAGACCTGAAACATGCACAGCAGAAACTTCAAAGCCGCGGTGGAAAGCTGCTGCAAAAAAGCCAGAATTTGCAAAACTGAGGGTTTTGCAATTCTTATTTTGCAAATAATCTTCAATTTGATCGAAAAATGCGAAAAAGAGGAATTAAAAAGAAGAAGATCGGCAGAGGATCGCCGCTGAGAGGGAGAAGCTGAACTTCGCGGCGCCCCGGGGGATTTTCGCGGGCTTACCCTTGAAATAAAGGCAAAAAAGAAAATATAAAAGTATTAAACGCGAATAATGAAGAAAGGAATTCAATTTGAAATAAATGAAACTTCTTTTGTTTGAATCGACGCAGCGCAGGCGGTGGGCTGGGGTGTACAGCCAGCTGGTGTTTGCGGTGTACACGCAGCTCGTGCACGGGAAACATTCATTACTCAAAATTAATTCAATTTTTGCTTTTTCGTCTTCTTTTCAAATTCTTTTCAGTGCTCGAAAGCCCCATCAGCCCCGCCTTCGGTTTTGCATGCAGTTTGGGACCTGTTCTTCTTTTTCCGGGCCCTCGCGACAAGAGAATGAGGAAAAAGTGGAAAAAAATTCAACTTTTTTGAGGGAAACATACTTCAAATTCAATCAAGTCCTTTTTGGGCTTTTTAGTTCTGCATTTCAAATCTTTGCTGGTCCCGATTCAGCCAGCAAAGTGCCATTTAAGCAAAATCTGAAATTTGAAAATTCAAAAAAAAATATGAGAAAACGCTCTGTAGGTGTTCGCAGCCCGCAGCTGAGGTGTACATACACCCCATCACAGAACAGGCTTCGCGGGGAGAAAGGGCTTTTAGTCCTTTGAGTAAAAAATAATTTTATATCAAAAGAAATAAAACAAAAGAAATTAAATTAAAAGAAATAAAAAGAAAAAAGCCACAAAATAAATGAAATGCAACTATTCAGCCGCCTACTTGCGCCGCACTGCCCCCTCACCCGCAAACCCTAAACCCTAAACCCTAAACCCTAAACCCTAAACCCTAAACCCTAAACCCTTGCAAAGCCGAGGCCTCAGAATACAAGCAGCTTCAAACACCCGAAAAACTGGAAATTAGACAAAGATTGACTTTTTATTTGAATTAATAGAAACAAGAATTAAAAAAGAAATAGAAAAGAAATAAAAAAGAAACAGAAAATAAAAACAAATGGAAGCTGAGAGCCGCACTGAGCCCAAAAATGGATTTATCTCAACAGAATGCTGCTGAAGTAGCAGCAGCAGCAAATGCAGCAGCAGCAGCAGCAACAGCAGCAGCAGCAGTTAAAGCAACAGTGCCCAGCGGCGCAGCTGCAGCAGCAGCAATGACAGTGTCACCAGAAGCTGCAGCAGCAGCAGCAGCAGCAGCAGCAGAAAAAGCTGCTGCACCAGCAAAAGCAGAAGCAACAAATTCGCAGCAAGCAACACCGCCCGCAGCAGCAGCAGCAACAGCAGCAGCAGCAGCAGCAGCAGCAGCAGCAGCAAGCCCCTCGCTGATGACTCGCAGCGTGTCTGTTGCTTCTTTAAAGAATCGTCTCC